GGGTGCGGGACGGGGGGGGGGGAGAGTGAATGAACTCAAAACCGAGTGGTGAACAATCATCTCGATGAAAATCGATTGATGGTCCTCCAAGTGGAGAGAGAGGCAAAAACCTGATGGGCACGTGTAGACAGTACACAACTCGTGTTGCCTGGTTACAAGAAATCTGGGCTCGTCCATGGCTAAAACTAGGGGAGCATTTTTCACTGTTTGCGGCCGGTATTTTATTCACAAAGATAGACGCTGCAGAGACACAGTGCAAAGCGTGAATAAGAGAAAGACCGTTTAGGCGACAAATCATGTACACGTGGGGATTGTTTCAGTGAGTAAGTGGTTGCGGACCGGGGATGAGGCGATGTTTCTTCAGGTAAGCGATCACTGCCTCAAGGGATCCTAGATGGCACGGTGACTTGTGAAAACCCAGACCGCTACTAAATAGGGTTTTTCAAATCTCCGGGGTTGGGGGGAGGACTTAACTGTAGAAGAGGTAGAGGGACCCTCTCGAGGAGAGTGATCAGGTGGTGCTGAAGATACCACTTTTAAATGTATTCCAAATTGTTTCATAGATTCATTTATAAGCATCTAGAAGACATAGGAGTTCACGCTTCAAATGGCACTAAAAATGTCGCTGAGGTTGAGATCTCCAATTAAAAAAACTTTCAAACAAGGTTGAAAGTTACATTTCTTGGTTCTGGCAAGATTAACCTTTAGATGACAAACTGGATTCCCACCTCCTCAGTAGGTGAGCGAAATCAGACGAAAAATGTGCGAAGTATTTCGAGACCGAACGCTGATAACTGACACATGAACTCTCCGTGCCGATGCACCGGATACAACAGTATTAACTAGTTTAATTCACACAAGCTCAGATCCTGCGTCCAGGACAAAACAGCCAGGTGATGTCTGGGAGGTCAAAAAGCCATACACGTAGAGATAAAGAGCCGTAAACCCAAAGTAACTGAGGGAGTTTAATTGAAACGGTATTGTGGAAGTGTCGAATCCTCCTCGTTCATTGGTTCTCACGCGGTAGCGAACAAACTTAGGTGACTCCAATCAAAGAAACGAGGTCAACAGGGTGCGTTAGTGTGATTTGGAAAAAACAGTCTCAGTGACAATGGGCGTCTCAAGCACGAACAGGTTTTACAGACGAATGTGCTGTATGGTACTGTTTTTTGTTTTGTCAGGTCCGTGGATACAGCACCACTACATCGTGAGAGAGAGAAGAAGAAACAAGAGGCAGTCATTTTCGTGCGTGTAGTTGAGTTGAGCTGATATTAAGCATCATTGTATCCGTTCTCAACCATGAATCAATGAACAAACGCACGGAGTTGAATACACAGGATGCACTTTCTGGTCTCATAGTCGCATTAAACGAAAACACCCACGCCAAACACGGCTCGGCATTCACCAGCAAAGCATGATATTACAGTCTCAGTTTCTACAAACATCAACCAAGCACTTTCGTGTGCCGGTTTTCGCTGTTGCATTTAGATTGCTCATTTTGATAAAGAGCGGAAGATTGGAATGTTGAAAGCAGAATCAAAGAGAAGATAGATAATTTATATGGACTAAGATTGCAAGAAAATAATGAGTAGATACACGAGCGCCACTATTTACGACACAGACGCATCACTCAGTGCCTCTAATCATTGATTCTAATTGTCCCGAGGTTCCCATTCAAAAAGCCTAACGTGATCTATATGAGCAACTCTCCTAGTCAGGTTTTCCATACCTCACACCAGGTTTGACCGCCTTTAACATTTTCCATCCATTACCTGCCTCGGCAAACATCACACATCGTAGTGCAACACAGGCCCCGACCAGCATAGTCTATGAAAATCGAACACTTGCCTCGGGAAGTGACTGTGATCACCTAGAACTCTGCACCTATCTTCAGCATTGCTTGTCCCGTTTTCCCACCAGATTCGGGCAATGTCACGTAGACAATAGTGTTCGAACACCGGTAATCTATTTTCTTCCTGTTCCCGTAATGGCCAAGTCTCTCATGAGATATCAGTCAGCATTTAACTACTAAGGACAAAAAACCGGAAGCGATAGGATCGATTCTTCCAAAGTCTCCTTTTTATTTAGTCAGCACACTATCAGATCGGTCAACAAGTTCCCTAAGCTAGAACGCTTGAAACTTAGGATTTAGGCGCATGCAAGACTACTTTAATTATAACACCACATTCTCTCGATTCGACCTCATCTTCACGCTTCACTCTTCCTGTGTCAGGTGATTCGATATCTGACGCTCGTGGTGTTGCTGGTGTGAGCACTGAGCCAAGTGTCAGGGCTGAGTGGATTCTAGTTAGTAACCGACGTTGACGTGTACAGTTCAGTACAGCATGAAGTGCACTCATTCGTCGTGTCCGAGTACGCACCGTTTGATTGCAGTGCGCCCGAAATAACGGGAGAATTTCACAATGATCTTTCTCAGAGTTAAGTGGCATCTACGTCAGCTCACGAAGAGACTCAAGAAGGACCATGGAAACTGATGGAAAAAATAGCTAATGAGATAGAAATCCCAGCTGCATCAGGGAATAGTCAAAGACTGTTCCGACTGATACGCAAGACGGGAGGTCGACGAACTCCAATTAGTGAAACAACCTGCGATAAGATTGGACAAGCTACTCACAATAGGGATGAACGACTTAATCGCTGGGCGAAATAATTCAGCTAACAGTTCAGCTGGCCTGGCGCTAGTGAGATTATTTCATCTATAGCTGAAACTTCATGGGCAGTGACATGCGATCCTCCAGCAGAAGCAGAAGTTCAGTCTTACATTCAAGCTCTGAAACGAAGAAATACAGCAGGACCGGATGGGGTTCTTCCCACTCTCTTCAAGAAGGGAGATGATAACCTTGTAAGCTGTGTTACTACTTTACTGCACATTTGGACGCAATAACGCATTCCTTCATCCTTCACCGGGTAAAGTTTGACCTTGATCGTAACCAAAGTGCCAACCTCCATCGTACCTCGACGTCTGATGCCTTTAAAAAAGACCAACGTCCATTAACAGCAAGCCGGATTCCAGTCTCAGCGAGAACGTATTGATCATTTTTTTAACGTTGCGTTATGTCCTTGAGCTCAGTCAAACCCAGCGTCGACCAACGATCGCAGTGTTCCTCAACCTGGAAGGAGCCTTCGACTCAGTTCATCGCGAAGCTCTGATGGGGTCTATTCTTCAAAAAGGAATACCACAGAATTACGTTGACTTGTTGGGATCACTGTACTCACGTACCTCTGGCCGAGTGAGGATTTACCACAAACCAAGTAGACCGTTCGGCACTGGCAGCGGCGTTCCTCAAGGGTGCCCTCTTTCACCTTTCCTGTTCCATTTCGTCGTAGACAAAATACTGGATGACGCACTTCGCGGTCTCCAAAACGTAGGTATTGAATCGATAGATGGGGGAAAACTGTGCGATTTGAAAAACGCTGATGACCTCGTCAGTCTGTTCGAATGTACAGAGGACGCGCAAAGCGCACCTGATAGACTAATATGTGTTGTTGCCACATTCGGTATGTGCTTTGTACCTTCAAAGTTAAAAGTGACGTTGCAAGACTGGAACTTGCCGAGTCCCGTTCTGAAACTAAATGGCCACGAATTAGTTATGGTGGATTACTTTTCCTACTTAGTTAGCTGTGTGACCAATGACGGTAGCAAGGCAAAGGAGATAACCGCCTGCATTTCCAGGGCTCGAACAGCATGCACAGGACTGAAATGTCTTTGGCATAGACGCGACGTTTCACTGAAGTTGTACATTGTGCTACCGTTCGTTTAGTTATGCTTCATGGTTGAGACCCTGAATCTGTGAGTAAAAGATATCCGTCGACTAGGACCATTTGGTGGTCAGTGTCTGCGTAGTTTAGCCCACGTGGGATGGAGCGAACGGGTTAGTAATGTAGAGGTAGGCCGTGTGTTTGGGAGTCTATCAAGCATAAACCTGCTGGCACACCGAATTCAGATTGGTAGACTTCGCTGGCTAGGACACGTATTGCGTATGCCCAGCTGTCGTCTGCCGCCCCACGCTTTATTCCTTGTAGCCGCTCCAAGCTGGAGCAAACCATATGGGGGTTAACAGATGACGTGGAGAAAAGGCATAAAAGAATACACAGCCATTAAGTAGAGTAGGTGCCTCAGGTCCGAAAGACTCCACAAACGGTTGGTTGGAGACATTGAAAGATATGGCAGCGAAGTGACAGCAGTGGTGTTCTTGTTGTCTTTTCATATCACGCCAGAATGCTTGAAATGGTACGTAGGCACAGTTGGACTGTGTAAACCGCGGGTTAACCATAGAGGTTCATTTTCTCTCCCCTCCTTCAAAATAGGTTTAATCTCTGTCCATGTTAAATATTACCACTAATGTTGTATGTACCACGAATTTGGCAGCAGTCACTGGAGTTCGCTTCACTGTAGTTCACTGTATGATGATGATGATGAAGATGATGACGATGATGATGGTGATGATGATGATGATGATGATCATGATGATGATGATGATGATGATGCTCTGCAGTGACCTAGATTCTCCCTACGCTTGGTGAACCACCACAGGAAAAAGGTAACCACAATACTATATCAGCAATAATTGCAAATCAGCCTTCGAAGCGGAACTTAGTGATCGTCTTTCAGTTCAATCATGAACCGAAATGTTCAGTGAACACTGGACGTTAGTCAAGGAAGTAACCAAAACGTTAATAAAAAAACGGCGGATGCTGGAGCGCAAACAGAACCTCGACTGCTCTGCTGGACGCTCGCAAAGCTATTCCTTCGGATTCAAAATAGGACAAAGCGCGCAAATCCCTTAAACGCCAGTATAGAGTCTGAGGAATGACCGCGAGTGGTGAGTAGGAAAGTGTAGAGAGATGGAGAAGGCTGCGGTTAACGGTACTAGTCGCAATCTCTTTCCTTTAATTGGGAGTACCGGTCTCAGTAAAGTAGGCGAAAGTGAGGCAATCAAGTAGTCTGGCGGCACAGTGATTCATATTCAACGACACCGTCTTCATCGATGGGCAGAACATTTTAAGGTACAGTTTAGCTGGACCCCGTCGACACAAGACCTCCTTATGCCCGCTTCAACTGCGCAAATACTACCAGTTGGTATCAGTCCTAAATCTGAAATGGAGGTTACTCGGGAAATGAGTTAGTTCAAAAGGTATAGGGCCTCCCGCCCGGATGGGCTGTTTCTATCAGCTTTTAAGGATGGAGGTCCAGTCTTGGTTTTGGAGTTGACGAAACTCCTGGACTCAATATGGGGGAGGAAACAAGTTCCCATTGAATGGTGTGAGTCGGTCACCATATCCATTTACAAGAAAGGCGACAGTTCCTCTTGTGAAAAACACAGGGAAATAAGTTTAATCAACATTGTCTCCAAACTTGTCTCTGGCATCATACTCCGTCGATTGTCTGCCGCACGTGAACGGGGCACGGGCAAGAACCAGGCTGATGTCAAACTTGACCGAGGTTGCACCCACTAAACGCAACACGGCATGCGTACAGAAGGCTTGTTTGGTATTTGCCAACTTGAGACATCTCTGGCGCTGACGCGAGATCCGGCTGTCTGTGAAGGGCCGAGTGTATGCTGCAGCAGTTTGATCAGTGCAGCTCTATGGTGTACATACATTTAGATTTTACGCGAACGGGATGAAAACAGAATATCGATGTTTGAAAACCGCTATATGAGCCGCTTTGGACAAGTTTGGAGCGGCTACCGCGCAAGCAATGCTGATATTAGGAACAGACATTTAGACAATCTCGGTCGTCCACGGGAGTTACCGCTCAACCTCAATTGATTATGTCGGTTAAGGCTATCTATGGCGTCGGATAGATTTCCTCAATGTGTGATGTTTGCAGAGGCGGGCAATCGGTGGAAAAAGTCAATGGTTTTCAAATTAGGACCGAGTCTAAAGATGTGAAAACCCCAACCAGGTTCATGTAATTCGCGTTAGACTTCCTGATTAGGGACCACGGGATCAGTATAATCACTGGTTGGAGACAGTGATATGGCTGAGTGTCATAAACATTGGCGCTCGTGCATTTTCCCAATTTCTTTGCAACCTCAGTTCACCTGAATTGCCTGTTTCCATTTTGAAACTTCTTCCAATATCTCAAATTTCCTTCATTCATCCAAACGAGTAGACAAAAGAAAGTAACCTAAATCACCATACAAAAGCGCATGGTTCATAGTTGTATAAATTTAACTGAAACGGCGGTTTAGGTATTCTAAAGACAGCTTTTTCTTGTGCCCCATCACTCATGGTTGAACTGTAGGCGCAGTTCGTCCTCCTAGAACATTGTCGACACTGCACATTAATCGAGTTAACTGCGAATAGAAAGTCGAATCCCACAGGCAGCCCGATGGTTCGCTTGCTCTTTCGTCCGCCAGATAGTTAATCAACCTGGTTTACCATGTATACGACCAACACGTATTCCGGGTTGCTTGAGAAAGACCCCAGGATTCGAGCCCAGATATAGAGTCAGTACATGTGCACTTGTGATTAGACCTCACATGGGGATCGAGACGGACACACAATGACATCTTCTGTGTAGATGATGGAATACCAGCATGGGAACAGAACCGGAAATATTGTCCAAAACATGTTATCATTACACAATGTGGGCTGATGCGGTGCGGTCCAACATCTCTCTCTCTCTCTCTCTCTCTGCTTACCAGGTATGGTCGGTTCCCAGGTTTGAAGGTCTATAGTTAAGGACCAGGTAAGTCTCTGGGGCAGGACGAAGATAAACTTGTTTGTATAATTTGTGAAACTCAAGAACACAGTTCATATTTTTAATTCTTTCTGTCATCATTAACAGATCTTGTGTGTTGATGAACGGTTGAGGAGAATCATGAATTGTTCAAGATTGTGCAACCATTATTGTAGCAGTTTCTTTCGCTAGTTTTCATCGCTCAGTTTTAGCTATTTCATCGATCGAACCACGAAGATGGAGGAAGTGAAGAGTTTTGACAGCAGCTCCAAGAGAACGATGTGCAAAAAAAATTGCCAATGTGCGCAGAATGTGAATCAATGCAAACAAACACCACTGTTTGACATGTGGCCACATCGTGTAATGCCTTCAACCGTTGATGAGGTAGGTTACGAGGTCCAAAAAGCCAAACGATCAAATAGAACCCATACGATCGAGTCCCCAGGTAAGGGTTTTCAGACCTTCTTGTCAGGTTATGGTTTGACCGCCCTTGTCTTACTTTCAAATTCAGCGTGGGTTCCTATTGTGGTGGATGATCTCAATTACGAATGCCATTTTTCCAATGAATTAAAAAAAAACAAGCAGAGAAAAGCTTTCCCCGAGCGACACAGCAATGCACACACTGATCGGGCTTGGCTTACCTTATTACTGGCCGCCGGTTTGAGACTTCGTGAATAAAAGGAAAATTTGGCGCCTTCTTTGTGCACTTGAATTCGCTCCCCGTCATATTTGATCTCGGCCAGAAGTTTCCCGCTCGGCTTCGCTTTGGCCAATGCTTGGGTAGCCGACTTACACGCCTCGGCTAGCATAGGTTTGATCGGTTTCATCAAACTAATCCCGGTGGAAACCACACTGGACAAAACGGTCTGTTTCAACCCTTTTGTGGGAGATCCCGTAGGACTACTGTGCGTGGTCGATGTGCCCAACACTTTTTTGATAACTGCATCCAAATCACGGGATGCTTGATACGCGGTGTACGCTTGAGGATGAAGTCCATCCAAGCTGAAGATGAAGTAGCAAGAAGCACTATGCACGATCAATTTTCTAAACGTGAAGACGCCCTTGTGACCCACGATTTGTAGTGAAGAGGTAGTAGATAGGCAGTGGATTAATTGGAGAATAGCAAGATACTGAAAAACTGTATATATTAAAATCTAGTCTTCATTCGTGGTCATTGTCACCAGTCAGGTAATTTTTCACCTAATCATTCATATACTTGAAACCGGAGTGTATACTTTCCGCAAAAATCGCTTATCAGCAACAAGGGCGGATATGCTGTTCGATTCAGTTTATTAATGAAGCGATGACTAAAAAAACATTGTTTTGCGGATACGATGTTACCAACAAGGACAAATTTGGCTGAATACGGTTTATCAGACACATTTTATTAACTAGCATGTGAATGACTGGACAAATTTGTCCTGGAATCACAAAATCGGTTTCGCGATGATCACCGCTCGTCATGTGTGTGTGCCTATCCGGCAAATTCTCATGTAGTCCTTCAAATACGTGAAGCTCGGATGGTTAGGCTTTTCATCGCAAAACTCAACTCAGCGATACGGGACGAATTATCGCTTAGATTTGCTCATGGACTGCTTGAATAGCATATCCGCAAAAACGACAACCGTGCGTCTCCATCCAGTTTGTTATGATATTTGACACACGGAGGAAGTAAAAATACAGACACTTAGAATATGAATCGATATATCTATAAAATACTCGGAGAAAAACCGACCACATTCATGAGTCAAAACAAAATTGGAAGTATAGACAGAAAAAAGACTTCTCTGGAGATGCTTTGGACCAGGCGAGAAGACGGGTCCATGAAACACTGGAAACACTATAACGAGTGATACGCAAGCTTAAATAGTTTTGTCTCATTAGAATACAAACGAAATCCAATGTATATACTCATCGGATGCTGATAAGCGTGTTTTTTAATGTTAATTCATTACATGAAAGCAACCACAAACTCGCCATTTTCACGTGTGCGTGACCTCGACTACACTGATTATTCGCAATCAAATGAAATCGGAATCGGGTGAAATACTTCCATTGGTCGCAATCTTAACTTACTGGGTCTCTGCATTTTTGGGATTGCGAACATGAGAAGATGCAGTCGTGCCACTGACTTCGATCTAATACCGTATTTATTTTTATTCAACGCGTAACCAATTACAGAGAACTGGCAAATGTGCAACAACAACATATGAACAGAAAGAAATCTGAAGAATGTGTTCATAGGTTGTGTGGGCATGTTACTTCCCGGTTGCCCTGGCCGAGGAAGGAGGATAGCCTCGGGGTCCCCACCCGAAGCCTTTGGCTACAAAGCCAGGCGTGCAAGACATGACGGATCTCAGAGTCCGCAGTCCATTGGGGGCCGGTGTCCAGATCTAATACCGTATTCCTTAGTGTCTTCAGCCGATACTGACCTGAATCTTTGGAACCTCTAGGCTGAAAACCGGGAAGCCTCAACGAAAGCCAGACCCGAACACAATTTATTCAGCCCTCTAAACCATGTTATGGCTTGTTCCGCTCANAACAACGCACGGGAGGACAGACGCTGTCCAGTTATTCTCCGGACGCGCTCCAACCACCAACAATTTCGTTTAGTGGAAGCCCATCTGACTCTAATACATGTGGTCTGACCTCACCGTTATTCACATGAGGCTCCTATCACATGCGGGCGATGTGGCGCGGATAGCGGTTGTCGAAGACGGATAATCGTTGGAGATGATCTGCTTGGAGAGGCAAAGTTTCTAAGCTATAGAACAACAAGGCGCATACCGCTGCGCAACACACGCCCTTTTAGTGAAAGAGATAAATCGTTTCGGCACCAGAGATGTCGTCGATTAGTAAACCATAATCTTACTTCGATTATGAGTTGGGAGATCTCGCCCACAGCCCCACCAGCCGTTATACGACTGCCGAGGTAGAGAAAAGTCTCAACTCTTTCCAGAGTGTTATTACCAAACGAAAATGCAGGAACAGGTTCCCGTCAATCTTGCAGTAACACCTTGCACTTTCAAGATGCAATAGACACCATACCGAGCAACCTCAATCGTCAAGCTATTCAGCGTGTTTGAAATCACCAGTGGGTTGTCACCAAGTAAGGCAATATCACTGACATACTCAAACTCTCCGACTCTGAACGAAGCTTCAAGCCAACGTCATATTAAATGGCGCTGTTTACAGAACATCATCCTTCACTGAAAATCCTGACCGCGATGGGTAAAAAAGTACATTATTGATTTGACTACCTATGCCAAAAATGAAGAGAAAAAGAGAGGTAAGGCAACTCTGTCGTACCCCGTTGTGGACAAGACACGAGGGTGAGTTCACCATTGGCCCCAAAGTTCCTCGAAGTCTGACGGCAGAGCGTTTTAGAGGCAAAACATATTTCTCAGGCAATCCGTATCTCAGCAGAAAAAGTCCATGGGGTAGGGCGATCGATGGAGTCAAAGGTCGTTCTGATGTCCAAAAACAGGACAATAGTATGTCGGACACTAACAGCTTCGGCGCTGTCGAAATCAGACTTAAGTCCCTACGGTTGGGACAGGCATTGCGAAAAGATGTGAAAATTGATTCTCCCATGTAAGGGACACAATTTCGTCTTCCCACATCTTCGAGCACAGTATGGCAAGCTCTCTCTCTCACGAGAACTTCTCCGCTATCTTTAAAGAGAACCGGTGACAAATTATTTGATCCAGACGCCTTGTGGCCTTCCGGTGCTTGAGCTCCTTCCGGATCTCCGCTTCTTTGGGTGATACCGCGGATAGTGACCAGGGTGCACTCTCAAGAGAACTACTTTTGGTAGTGCTTGGCTAAATCCCTTAGATCGTGTTCGTCTATCACACAAGGACAGGCTCATCGCAGAAAAAAATCAATGATTGAGTGATGTGGTGTCAGTGAAACTAGTTGAATTTTATGAACAGACTCTCGCAGTTCACGGAGTCCAGTCATCTACATCGGAAGACACCTACAGCTCGTGAACTGGTCTTTGACTTACTCAATGGTAGAAGCATTTGTACTACTTTACCGCAATTATGATTAGTGGGAGTAGGAATTTATTTTTAGATTTATTTGTATTTACCTCTTTTCGAATTGAACTGTGTGCAAAAAAATCACAGTACAACAATCTCTGTAACAAAGAAATCAACCTATGATTTGCTCTTGGGAGGAACAGTGCCAGGTTGCCCAGGACAATGCAGGTGAATTCGTAAACGGAGCCTTTGGTTAGCCAAAATGTGACACGAAAGGGAGTGGAGCGGTGTGAAAACCGGAATCCATTTCGGGAACGATGTCTAATGGATCAGAACATACACCTTTTTACAGGATTCAAACTTCCTAAGCGAGCAAAACACTGCAATATCCAATCGAGCTCGGGACCACTGGCATAACCATGGGGATGTTGGTGGGTACGTATGTATGTGTGGTTCTTAAGCTTTTCCTTGGTTGGTTTGGAATCAAAGATTTCGCAAATCAACCACCACCTAGATGAAATGCCGATGGTTCATCCATCCGGTTTTAACTCCGAACGTTGGATTTCTGTCTTCTCAGTCGGATGGAAAACACCTCGGTCACGTGAAGGCTGTGCGTATGGCTTCCTCAACAAAGGCTTGTTTGGTTCTATAGGAGCATTTTGCGCGGTGCAAGGAAAGGGTGAACAGTTACAACCCAAGACATCCACCCAGCTCCGAAAGCCTCAGTATGGTCGGGGGTGGGTGTCTAGGGTTGCGGCTGGTCACCCTTCCCTCGCACATCGAAAAATGCTCTTATATGACCAGGCGTCTCAAACAGCCTCTGCTGAGAAAGCCCTACTCACTGCCTTCTCGTGGCGGGGGTGTTTTCGCACAAAGTGAGAGGAAGAAAACCCGACATTCGGGGCTATAACCGGGTTGGTGGACTACTGGTAGTTCACCTAGGAGAATTAGCTAAAACCCTGATTTCAAACCAACGAGGCGTACAAACCACACACACCTTCCCGGTTGTGGCAATGGTCACCGGCTCGATTGGGCATCAAGATGTATTGGGCACCTTGGATGTTTGACCCCGTCCAAAAGGCGTATGATTCGATGAACTGGACACTGGCCCCCAATAGATTGCGGTTTTCACACACCACCTCGCTGCCTTGCGAGGCTTTGGCTAGCCGAGGGTTCTGGTTGTGGATTCCTCAAGAAAATTCACCTGTCTTGACCTGGGCAACCTGGCAGTACTCAGTCCACATGCAAATCATGGAAGGCTTTTCTTTTTTATAAAGATTATTGTACCACGATTTGTTTGGCACATAGTCTGGCGTCAGACGTGTGTGAAATATAAGACACCCACTCCTGACCATGACGGAGCTTTTTCAGGTGCAAGAATTTAGAAATCATCATCAAAAAAATATGTCCTCCATTGTTTGTTAGCAAATACGAGAAAAGCGGGGGTGGTGGTGCGATTCGCACACATGACACTCACATTTGTTTGTTCCCGGCGTTGATACGGAGATCCTGTCGTATCAGGCGAACAAAACTAATCAGATCTCGGACAGTGCATCGTTTTGTGACCAAAGTAAGTAGTCGCACTCTGTCCGGATCTTTTGACAGAGAGGCCAATTTGTGCAAATAGTCATCCACCTACGCGGTCAGAATAGACGTGGATAATACAGGCGGGAGTACCGAGGGTTGATAGATAGGTAACACAACGTAATCATTGGGTAGAGTTGAAAATTGGAAATATGATAAAAATGTATGCATCAAACCCTATTTTTCAAGTGCTATTGGTGAAAAGTCAGATCAGTAACGTGTCAACCGAGTTCATGTTACTACAGGCTTCCAAACAGTATCTCACAATGCGGAATCTGACGATAGAGTGTAGCAGGTGTCTGGTAGAAGTAGCATCTGTTGACCGACCGACTATCGTGTGCCTTGGTTAGATTCCATTTCTTCGCTTTCTATCATTTGCCAAACTCTTCTCTAATTCCAAAAGGCTGAGATGTGGAACAACCACCGCATTCCGGCAACCTCTTTGATAAGCAAACGAAAACGAATCGAGAGTAACCGATGAGTGAAACACTCGGCGAAACAGTTTACAACATACAAACAGAATGGGCAAGAGTTACCGTTTGGTCCAACGACCAGAAAAAAATCTGTTCAACAGATGGGGATGCATAAATCGCCATCTACAGAATGGTAAAAAAGCTCCCATGGGACTAACCGAAAACGTGTACCAATGCACTAATATTTTGCAGTCCGAACTCGGTTTTTCCGTGGCTGTAAGTGCACCCTGGAAAAACAAAGAGTGACATTGTGAGCGTTTCTTGGATCAAACTCCTATGAAATCCGACCGGTCCTTTCCGAGGAACAGCATGGAGAAAATGGGAGAAACAACTAGCTTTTCATACAGGCAAACGCTTGACTATGGGTAGAGAAGGGTTAATTCTGTCTAATTTCCTTGAGGGTGCGTATTGGTTAGGACAGTTGATAAAGGTGAGCGATTGAGATAGCGAAAATGTATAGGTATCTTGACGATCACTGGTAACTCTTTTATTACGCACACTTGTGTGACGAACAGCAGACAGGGTGGTCGCGAAGACCTGCTGTTTAGTGATGGTAATGGGAAACCTAAGCCCCGGGATTTGGAATGGTGGACCACAAAAGGCCCCGTTCGATTAGGCGTGATATTGAACCGGGCGACAGCAAAGCTGTCTACCGCCAAAGTTGGGTGACGGTGGTGGGGCTCGAACCTTGGGCTATAGGGTCCAAAGCTAGCCGTTAGCAGCGACTAAACCACTGCGCCACCACCTGCCTTATCATGGATGTAAGGAGGCACCCTCGAAAGAAACCGCGGAAATTGCCCTGACTTGTATCTGAAAGCATTGTGAGATGGTACGTAAGCTTTCAAATTGCCAGTTTTCCAGTACCTTGTACTTTTACGCGGAGCTCCTGGTTGCTGTCTTTTGAAACAACACAAATGAAGGAGTAGTGCATAAGTGTCACTGTTCAGAACACTGAACTAGTGCGTCTAAACAATGATTAAGATGATCCCGAGGTTGGCAAACGGTAAACGAGCCTTTCGTATGCGCATAAATCTGTAAGTACCTAGATTGTGGACGTGATAGCATCCGGTTATCCAGGTGGAAGTAGCGGCTATTCTACACGAGGCCTTGGATCAAAGAATCCAACTCAGAAGACAGCAAGGTAGAGTAAAGAGTCTACTATCCTCGGGGGGGGGGCAGTGATTGGGAAACACCTTTCGGATGCGGCTAAATATGCAGGCTGTCTAGTTTGTCCTTGGTCGGCGCACTCGTCGGTGGTCGAGGATTGGAGTCACTATGAGCTTCGTGCGCTAAGTGTGGGTGGTTTGTATGCGTGTCAGAACTTCACCTGATAAATTTCCCTCAGGAGAGATGTCAATGTATGTCTAAATTATCTGCTTCTTCTTCTTCAGTTAGCGGAATCAGACCAACCCGGTTGTAGGATCTTGAAGAAGATTCTTACAACATGGATTTCACACTGGAAATCCGCCCTAACGATCTAGTGACGTGCAAATCTCGGAGTCAATAGAAAACGAGATTGTCTTGAAATGCGCTACTAATGGTTAAGATAAAGTATGTGTAAGCCGCCAATCGTGAGGTAAATCGGGGAGTGTGGGTTTGCAGTGTGAAGGCACAATCAAACGTAGTGCTCTGTTAAAAGGAATCTTCAAAGCTGTCAAAGCGTTTGACTCAACTACCTCTGATGCGTGCAGTTTCATCAACGTTAACGGTCAGAATGCCTTAGGTGGCAACAACGGTTCAATGTACAACAGAAAAACGTCAATCATGTGACGGCCTGTATTGGTCTGGGCAGCCTGGTAACATCACACCCTCGAGCAAATCATGAAACTTGTCTGGCACATAGACGTGTGTGAAATGTAACAGATAAATCTAAATCACGTAAAGGACGGGAACAATGAACGTGCGTGCGAATGCGTGTCGATCGGTACCAAACGGGTTACGAGTTATTAAACACTGGTGTGTAATGAACAGAAAACAGGGCGAACCCCATAGTCACGAAGGTCTGCTGTTCGGTGATGGAAACCGGCAACCTAAGCCCCGGGACTTGAAGTGGCGAACCACATAAGGCCCTGCGAGGTCAGGCGTGATATTGAACCGGGCGACAGCAAAGCAGTCTACCACAAAAGTTGGGTGACCGCCGTGGGGCTCGCACCTTGGACCACACGATCCAAGACATGCTGATGCAAGAGGGTTAAGTAACTAAGGGGCGAAGGTGATACGGGTCCCGGGTCGTTTCGATAAAAAAGCTCAGGGGGTCAAATCAGGTGTAGCACGCTTAGCAAGCAAAAGAAGAAATAACACAAATCAAGAGAGATGATGTAGGTTGACTGTGGAAATGTACACGTTTTTTAGGGTCTTAGTAAAGGCTAGTTTGTTAAGGGAGCGAAAAAGATTCGACACCAATTCTGTGACACTACACTTTAAACGTGCATAAGTCACACCGATCACAGCTACACCGGCACTCAAACTTCACGTAGCACTACGATGTAGACGGAATGCTTTAGACAAGGCATTGCAACCGGATACTACATCGATACCACCATCGCCGTATGAGGACAGAGCTGTGTGCAGGATCATAATCACTGCGTGTGATAGGAGAGGAAAAACAATAAACCAACCTTTCTGATCTCATGCATAACACCTATAAAAAATCGTCTTTGTATTCCATCCACATAATCCGTGGTTAACAGTTAAATCCCCAAAAAATTGATTGGATTGATGCTGATCGTAAACTGTACAAAGGCGAAAATTCCTATAGAAGGCAAATCAGATGCAATCAACATTCAGGGAATATTTTTCCTAGGCCTGTAGCACAAATTCAATCCTTCGCAGATTCCTGGCTCTCGCACAGGATGCCCNNCAAAAGGGTTAAACCCCAATGCGGGTGTGTCTTCGGGTGGTGGCTGCGCAGTGGTTTAGCTGCTGTCACCAGTGCTCTTTGAACCCTGTGGCACTAGGTGCTAGCCCTGCCACCGCCACCAAACTTTGGTGGTAGACTGCTTTGCTGTCGCCCGGTTCAATATCACGCCTGACCTCGCAGGGCCTTATGTGGTTCGCCACTTCAAGTCCCAAGTAACTGAACAGCGGATTTTCGNTCTTCTGTCCATCACACTGGTGTGTAATAAAAAATGTTTGATATGGTCTTGAAAAGAACAGACCTTCAATTTTGGTCTGCGAAAAAATTGGTTGATGTAACTTATCGAAAGCAAACCGTTATTTAAGAAAAACAATCCATGGGGAAATGGAAAAATGGACACAAAAAGAAGGCAAACACTTACTTCTTTTAAAGTCAAAGTGCTTTTTGACGCCGGTTTAACCGTATCGCTATTTTCAAAAAATTTGCCTATTGTAGTCGCAGCATCTTCCTACGAAGAACGATCACCAGGAAAAGCACTAAACAAGCTTACCGCTGTTTCAAGATCCTCCGACATTTCCTCCTTGTCCGTTATGAAAATTTGACTAAACACATTGATCAGTTGTTTATCCTTCAGATTGTAAACTAGCTTGCTTTCTTTCGGAAGAAGTAACCGGAAGAGAACCGCGAAGTCTCCTTTGTATCCACCTAAGTCGAGAAATAGCATTTTGAGTACACGATATATTGATTGGGTTACCGTTATCCTTGAATAAAAATTGGGATATTAAATCTGATTTTTCTTTGTGACTGGAAACATTCCGTAAGATATCGCACAGTTTTGAAAATTGTTCCATGGTGAGTTGGCGTATAAACCCTGTGAAACGGATGCAAATAGAAGACAATTGGGAATGATATCTAGCGGACTGTTGCAACAAATAATTTTCATCTGAAACTGATTCTACGCACTACAAATGCATTCAAAGTTGCAAATATGTGGATTTTATTCCAACAACCCATTGGCATGAAGCTTAGAACTAATTACGGCCTCATTCGGATAAAATGGGTGCAAAGTAGGAACGGTCGACGTGGTTGGGTCGAGCCTTGGACTCTGTTTTCGGAGGTTTCTAATCGTGAGCGTAGCACACGTGTTCGCGTCAGCGTTTCCCTCTGCTTATCATCCCAATGATCATGGCTTCCGAAAAGGGACGTCCTCAGAGCCACAACACTTGGCTTGCACAACACCTTGCTGGTTATCTGGTGCACATTACAGTTACAACTGACGTCAAGAAGTTCAGAAATTTATAAGAAATCTGTATTCCATGCATTATCCATGGAATTTGAGAATAATTTGGGAATAAATAACGATTGCACGGGATGAAAGCCGTATAATGGAGTATCAGACTTGAAAAATTTCACCTATAGGTCAGTTCAGTTCAAGTTGCAAACAACAGAATACGGCCACAAACAATCAAGCACCCATAACTTTTTCGGCGGTGAGCCCACGTATCGACTTCCAAGAAAGCTAGCTTTCGTTGAGTTTGTTTTGTGTTCACCTTTCCTCGGTATGAACATTCCTCTGAGCAGCTGCAAGGGAAATGCCCAAGGTTCCAAAGTCTCTGTTTTCCTTGATCATCTTTCAGCCTATAGTCGGATCCCCTCGAGGCTGATGACATCCTTTTTCAAGAAAGATGCTTGCAGATGCCACATTACCCTAAATGCAGTGGCATTATAGATCTGTATAGGTATGAAGACTTATGATTTTCTGTAAGAAAAAGGTGATCGCCATCTAAAGAGTTCTCTCTGGGCTCAATGCGCAGCTACCGTCTGTAGTCGAACTTCTGAGTTGTCGCCAGTGAAGGACTCTCATGAGTATTCCCTGCTATTATTCATACATCTTTCGTAATCAAGACGACTCTTTTCTATGTTGAGTGATAAGTCTCATTTACTGTCCTCCAAGTCCCTGTCCACCAAGATGAGATTGCACATTGATGTGGTGTGATAGCTTGTGCACCTCTCTGACTCAACGACCTACACAGGATGGCTTTTGTCAAGCCAGGAATTGTTATCATGCCAAGAAGGTCGAAGGGTAGAGGTCGGACGAAGTCCAATCTCCTGGTCCTACAGGTTGAGGGTTCGACTAGAATTTACGTTTCAGTCGGTAAAATATGGTGAGGCAGTAATCGATCCAAGTAAATGGGCCTCCACTTCGCTTCACCCGCTGCCTTGCGGTTAGGTTCTTGTTAGAACTAAAGGCTTTGGACGAAAACCATAATCGTTCTCCTGCTTGGTGGCTGAACACCCTAGCAGTACCCGTCCACCAAACTCCAATGCATACACAAACAAAAAATAATTCCGTACAGCATCGGACGTCGCGCAGGTTAATTAGGACCGCGCTCCCCATTGAATTGAGCGGGGTGGGTAGTGATAAATGGGCTACTGCTCAGATATCCCAACCTTCTTTGTCTTCCGTACCCAACCATCTCCATTATCCAATTCTTCCGATCAGTCGTAGTCCCTCAAGCAACTTGGTCGTTATTCACCAAAGGTCGTTGCCAAATAGCACGTAAGTAATGCACCTCGTCAATCACTGAACCTGGGTGCATTCAACGTGAGGACTCTGATCCAGGTAGGTCAACAAGCTTGTCTGGGGCGTACAATGGAGTCCTTGGGGATCGATATTTGCTGCGCGTCGGAGACTCAAATTCAGGATCCTATACTGTAAGCCACTTGATTGCAACAGATTTGCCTTCGAGATACGTTCTTCGCATATCAGGCGACGATGAAGCTCGTTCAGTAGGTCAGCGCGGGGTAGGTGTTGTACTCAGTAACAGGGCTGAGTCCTCTCTTATCGAGTGGATTCCCGTCAACAGTTGTTTATGTGCAGTAAGTCTCCGGAGTTCAATCAGCGTCCGGAAGGGAAGCAACACTAAAAGGTGTTTGTTTATCGTATCAGCAT